AAATAAGGTTTAAATACAAGTGCTGCCAAGAACAATGTACTTGAGAAAGTGTTACTTTGCATGTAATCGATCCATTTTGAAGGATGCGTCAAAAATCAGTATAATCAACGAGCAAAGCGAAACCCCATCCGATCAGTGGCTATTTCAACTCTCCGTTAGCTCAGTTCAAATCATGCTGGGCTGTGGTGTGAACGAGGACGTTCTGAATTTTGGTTGTTTTGGGGAGTTTTTAAAGGCTTTCCTTCTTATTTCGCTCGGTCCTGTCAGAAAAAGATGTTAAAATTCGGATACCTCGCCTCTTAAACAAATCATATTGTTGAAATGGGCGTCAAACCTATACAATGTCAATGAGTGACTATTGGCACCATTTATTCATCTTTCCCCAGCTCTGACGGTGCGGTTTCTGACTAAACGTTTCATCGGAGAGTACAGCCCTACGCTAGGTGAGTTTTCTTTGTTTTAGTTTTGGTCACGGTTTTACGACGTTCACAACTACATAAGGTCAAAATATATTATGAGCGCACGACACTAGGTGAGTGGCGATAGGATGTCGATATTGTGGAAGGAACGTAAAGGGAATAGCACTGGTAATTGTCACGGTATAAAGTGTACAGATGTATATTATGTTAAATATGCATTGTATGTATACTATACGCCACAGATCAAATATAGATAATCTAGACATGTATACCACACATATACATAATATTACAGGGTTGGTCCCAAAAGTGAATTTCCCTGTTCTGTAAAATCAACAGCTTCATTCTACTTACATGATATTTTATACCTATTTAATGACCAGTAAAGAATATTCTGGTGTTGAAAAGGGCGTTGAGCCTATTCAATTATCACGCGGAACAATTTTACCTCCTACAAAGCGTTAAACCTATACAATGACCAACGACCAATGACCAACGACCAATGACCAATGACCAGTGACTAACCACCAATAAACAGCATTTTGCCTTTGCTATATCCCCAGAGAGCGTATACCGCTACTGTACCAGCACGGCGGAAGATGACGACATCCGATTGGACATTCTGGACACAGCTGGTCAGGTATGTGAGCAACGGAGATAGGAGCTGCCTTCCCCCCCCCCCCCCCCCCCCCTCCTCTCTTCTCCTCTCTTCTCCTCTTCTCTCTCTCTCTCTCTCTCTCTCTCTCTCCCTCCCTCTCTTCTCTTCTCTCTTCTTCATGTTACATCTTTCTCACTCTATTCTTGTTTCTATTTTTGTCGGTCTGTTTGCATTCGGTGAGCAGTTCCTCTTGTACAGGATGCGCTTTGCCTTTTGCAACCTTTTACTTTTACACTTTCTGAAAGGATCTTAAAAAAAAGTGTGCGATCATTTTCACTTTAGTATTCGGACAGCCCTCATATTTCCCTGCCACTGCTTAAAAAAACAGAGAAGATAGGCAAGTTGACATTGTAGAAGAAGTAGACACGGACAGAATTGGTTTAAGAATTAGTTGTGAGTACATGTTATTCTTTGCCAACGAATTGCTTGGCTTTTTTGGCAAGTGTCTATATGACCATGAACGTAACTATTCTGGACTATTCTCTGTCTTTCTATGAAATGCAGGCAGGACTCAGTGCCAATGGGTGCTCTTACTTCTTCATTTCTCTGTCTGTTTCGCCTTATAATGTTAAAGATTTTGCGCAGACGTTTCATTTCGCATGCGGTGATGTTGCTTTCATGGGTTTTACTTAATGTCCAAGTCTGGCACTGGTAGCAAAACATTGGTATGAATATTGAAGTGATAATCAGACTCTTTGTGTCCATAGAGATGTTTGGATGAGATAGGAGGGGTGTAAACTGGTAGGTGACAGCGTTGGCTTTTTGAGTTCGCATTTCTACTTCTCTCTCCATGGATCCGTTTTCAGAAAAAGTGCTGCCAAACTTAAACTCCTTCACCCGTTTCAGTTGTTTAGTAAGCTATTAGGCTGTCGGTACAACTTTTTAATTTCTGTTTCACTGTGTTTTTAGTTCCGTTTCCTTGCGAGCCATATCCAGGAGACCGACGCCTGTGGAGTAGTGGTTATTCGCTTCGCTGTCACACGCAGAACACCTGGGTTCGATTCCCGTTTGGGAAGCAGTTTTATCGAGTAACTTGGTTTTTCTACTTGGGGTGTTGTATACCTCTCAGTCCAAGTTCGTCCTGACATGCAGAGACGAAGCCCAGAATAACTTATGTGAGGCAGGGTGGTGGAATCAGGCCCTCGTCAAAATAATCAAAGTGAAGAATCTTTCATTTTTCCCGTAGGTGTGTACATTTTTTATCAAATTTTTGTTTTTTGTCTCAACGCCTTTCATGCCCATTAAAGAACTCATTTCTGTGTGAATTTTTTCTGAAAAACGTTGATTAAGGGCACAAAAAAAAGTAAATTTTCAGTTACCACGGACTCTTAAGCTAAGGAAATAACTAATCTTTGGCGGCTATTTTCTCACTAATTTTACCTCTGAAAATAGGTGACTCCCACCTCCTTCATTTGCAGATATCTCGACTTGTATTCAAGATAAATGGATATTTTTTTCATCCAAATAAAGAAAAGTGTACTAGCTTTAAGATGAGAACAATAACTCTACATGCCCAAGAATTGACGAGAGCCAGATTCCACCACGCTGCATCACTTATATTATTGCGTTGATGGAGTCGTGTACATAAAGCATCGATAATTACAATTAAATACGGCTTTAAGTAAAACCTTTCAATTTCAATTTGCTTCCTCACAATTACAAAGTTCTATCTGACATTTTTTGCCGTTTTGAGTTACTAAGACCATGACGTCAGAAACCAAATATTCAGTCTGCTCTGTCAAAATCGTACGTTTATTCGGAGCCATTATCAAGCTAAGATATTCAAAGAATTGCATTATAAAAAGCTTGGCATGATGTGAAACTCAAAAATAATCTTTGACCTCAAATTTATCAAAATAGGTACTGTGAAGACAGAAATGTGTAACTCTTAGGTAGCGAATTGTTAGAGAGATTTTATTTATTCATTTTTAAAACTCAATCTCCTCTTCTCTACATGCCATCTGCAGGTGTGCACGGAGTGGAAAGAAAGCTACGCGCTGTGGGCCGACTGCTTCATGTTCGTCTACTCCATCACCGACTACGCCAGCTATGAGGAGGCTCAGAGGCTACGGCGTCTCGTGGAGGCCACACGGAGGTCTACGTCATTGTGCTGTGTGGTCGTCGGGAATAAGAACGACCTCGTTTATGACAGGTGGGTGGGTTATTTAGATGGATGGATGGATAGATAGATAGATGGATGGATGGATAGATAGATGGATGGATGGATGGATGGATGGATGGATTGATGGATGGATGGATGGATGAAAGGATGGGTGGATGGATGGATGGATGGACAGACAAATAGATAGACACACGGACGGACAGATAGATGGACAAACGCGGACCGTGGTGTATAGGCGTACATACCCATTCCTTTTCACTACACCCCCCCCTCTCTCTCTCTCTCTCTCTCTCTCTCTCTCTGTGTGTGTGTGTGTGTGTGTGTGTGTGTGTGTGTGTGTGTGTGTGTGTGTCTGTCTCCCTTTCTCTCTCTGTCTCTGTCTCTCACTGGTTCACACAAACACACACACACACACATACACACAAACACACAAACAAGTGTATTATATAATATACGCACGCACACGTGCTCTTACTTTACTTTATCCGTCCTCTTGTACCTCGAGGGGAGAAAGAGCTTCCTGTCTCTAGCAAGTTTGATGGCCTGGCTGGGTGGGATATTGTGTGTTCACAGGGTATCTTTCACACCCTGGATCCAGGTCTTTCTTGGTCTTCCTCTTGCCTTGTACCCTGATACTGTCCTGTAGTAGTCTTTACTGGCAAGCTGGTGAGGTGCCGTACGTGTGAGATGCCCAAACCACCTGATTGTTTGCCTTCGAATGTGGTGAACGACAGGTGTTGTTTCCACTATTTCTCTGACCTTGTTGTTTCTGACCATGTCCCGTCTGGTCTTGTTGACGGCTTTTCTTAGACATCTCATCTCGCAGGTGGTTATCTTACGTTCCAGACTTTTGGTCAGGGTCCATGTCTGGCACTGGTAGGTCAAGGTGGGGATGAAGATAGAGTTAATGAGCTTGGCTTTGGTCTCAATGGGGGTGTTAGGATGTTTGAGGAGTGGGGCAAGCTGGTAGCTGACGCTGTTAGCCTTTTGTACTATCGTCTCAATTTCTCTGTTGAGACGTCCGTCTTCCGAAAAGATGCTACCAAGATACTTGAACTCGCTGACTTGTTTCAACAGATTTCTGTCGATGGTGATGTTCAGGTTGCCAGGTATTCTGCTGATTTTCATCGTCTCCGTTTCGCTTTTACTGATCTTCATGTTGAGCGTTTCACATTGTGTATTCATCCTGTCTGTGTGCTCTTGGTCGTCCGCTAACAGTATCTCATTCAGGAATATCGGGTTGGGGTTTGCTTCTTTTGTAATTTTGCCCATCTAAATTACAAATAGTAGCGGTGATAACACACATCCTTATCTCACTCCAGATGACACTCGTACTGTCTCTGCCACCTACAAATGCAATCTTTATCTATCTGGCTGTCGGCTTGTCTGTCTGTCTTTCTGTCTGTCTCTAAAACACATAATAATAAACATGTGCATCAACTTAAAACGAATCATCAAAAATAGACATAAACCCCCTACATCTTTCTCCCCAGACAAGTGACGGCCAGACAGGGTCAGGAACTGGCCGTGGAGATGGGTTGTAACTTCTACGAGGTGTCAGCCTGTGACTGGAACCAGATCTCCGAGGTGTGTGACCTGTTCCTGGAGCTGCACGCCCTCTGGCGGAAGACTCGTCTGGCGAGAGACGGCCGCCAGCGGAAGTCCAGCTCGTCCGCCAAGTTCAAGCAGGCCATACAGAAGGTCATTTCCGGCAAGGGGTCAATTTCGAGGCGATCGAGTAGTAACGGGAATAATTTGTGATTGTTGGGGAGTGAGAGAGAGAGAGAGAGAGAGAGAGAGA